TTTACATGCAGAATGGATAAACAATGAGGTCCTACTGCATAGTACAGAGAACTATATTCAGGATCCTATGACAAACCATAATGGAAAAGAATATGCAACAAAAGAAGGTATATGTGTATATAGCTGAATCATTTTGCTGTAAAGCAATCAATACAACATGGCAAATCAACTACACTTCAATTTAAAAAATAAATTAAAAAGAGAACATTGACGTGTCCAGCCTCAATTGGATGGTCTAGGCCAGGGGGGCTCCAACCTCCAGGCCACTGACCAGATTCAGTCTGTGGCCTGTTAGGAACCAGACTGTACAGTGGGAGGTGAGTGGCGGGAGACAGAGCAAAGCTGCATCTGTATTTACAGCCGCTTCTCATCGCTGACATTACTGCCTGAGCTCCTCCTCCTGTCAGATCAGCAGGGGCGAAGCATCGTGAAACCATCCCCCTGCCGCGGTCTGTGGAAACACTGTCTTCCGTGAAACTGGTCACTGATGCCACTGCGTAGGCAGAGAGCGTGTGTGCTGAGTCGCTCAGTCGTGTCTGACTCTCTGCCATCCCATGGACTGTGGCCCGCCAGGCTCCTCTGTCCATGGAATTTTCCAGGAAAGAATACTGGAGTAGGGTGCCATTTCCTACTCCGGGAGATCTTCCAGATCCAGGAATCGAACCCACGTCTCTTGAGCCTCTGGTATTAGCAGGCGAATCCTTTACCACTGAGCCACTTAGGAAGCCACAGGGTCAGTGGCTAACCAATAGCTTAAAGCTGGGCAGATGTACTCCTCCCCACAGAAGAACACAGGGCCACATATGAATTCTTGCCAAAAAAGGGAAAACAAACCTACCTCTGATCAACTGCTAAATTTACTTAACTTACAGGGAGTACAAGGGGCGGAAGGCTGTGTTGCACTATACCAAACAGGCGCAATCAGCAAAAACCCCAACTGTGGGAGACTTACAGGACCTGTGACCCAGTTTCCTCCATAAATAGCAAGGGGGAAATAAAGGCAAGCAGGACATCTCAGAGACAGAGAGAGGCTTAAACGACCCGCCCACCAGTTGTAACGAGTGAGCCTTATCCAGATCCTGACAAAACAAATTGGAAATAGAGGTATTTATCACATTTGCGGGATGACTAGAAATGTGAACACTGGACATTTGATGAGATTAAACAATTATTGAATGTTAAAAAAAAAGAGTTCTTATCTTTTAAACTAAGAAATACATTGAAACATATACGGCTTTATGGTTATGCAGGGAAGCGGGGAGGGGTGGGGGATAAATTGGGATTGACATATACACACTGCTATACATAAAACAGATAATTAATAAGGAGCTACTGTGTAGCATAGGGAACTCTACTCAATACTCTGTGATGACTTACATGGGAAAAGAATCTAAGATAGAGTGGATGTAGCTACATGTGTAACTCATTCACTTTGCTGTCCAGTAGAAACTAACACAACACTGTAAATCAACTATATGCCAATAAAAAATTTTTTAAAGAAGAAATACTTAGGGGACGTCCCTGGTGGTACAATGGATAAGAATCCCCCCTGCCAATGGAGGGGACACAGGATCCCTGGTCCAGATGATTCCACATGCCGTGGAGCAACCAAGCCTGAGAGTCAAAACTACTGAAACCCATGCTGCTGCAACACGTGCTCTGCCACAAGAGAAGCCACACCAGTAAGAAGTCCCCACACCACAACTGGAAAAAGCCTGCAAACAGCAACAAAGGCCCAGTGCAGCCAAACTAAACCAAGACATTTTAAAAAAAGAAATATTTATGACTGAACTGATTGGCCCTAGTATATATACTTTGAAAAGAGAGAAGTGTATGGGGCTGTGGATGGGACCCTATTGAGGCTGTTGGGTGCTCAGGACATGGGGTTCACTGCAATATTCTAATCTACTTCTCTACGTGTCCAAAGCTCTCCATAATACAAAGTTCTGCTTTGTGTTAAAACCTGTATATAAAGACAGGCCACTCATAACACACACATGGAGAGTGCCCTCTGCAACTCCAGAGCCAGCATGTTGGGATGTGTTATTCCCAGTTCTGATTGGCTCTCTTCCACTTTGGGAAGGGGCAAGAGTAATCTCCTGGGTCAAGATGTGACTTTCCGGAGGCCTCAGGGCCTGGCAATATTGGAGATACAAAAACAGTAGGATAGGTAGATTCTCTGATACCAAAGAACACCTAATCTCAGAACGAAGGTAGGTTAACTGGCAGTGATTTATGTTCCAAAAGGTTTGACCTAAAATACAGGAAACATTTTGGAAAATATCGCTTGGTTTACAAAAGTTGGCAATCCCATAGGATTGCATCTAATGCACAAAGCAGGTGAGATTTGCTGACTGGTCTCTGAGAAGTTCAGGTGCTTTTAAGAGCTGGTAACTGCATGGGAGAGATCTGAAGGACACACCAGCCCCAACGGACCACAAACAGCTAATGACTGTCTGCCTTTTCAAGCTTGTTTCTGCATCTTCACCTGACCACCCTCCCCCTCCCACCTTGGCCAACGCCACCAACAGTGGGTCCCAGACACTCCATTCCCAGGAAAGTTTCTGCTGCTGGGAAAAAACCCCAGAAGAGCCTGTGGGGAATGTCCTCCATAGATGCCCCCACCGCCTTGCCCAATCTGGATAGCAAGGCAGCCTCCCACATCTCCCAGGACTGAAATTCTGACTTGTCCAGGACTCTTGGGGCCAAACCACCCATGCAGCTGGATACATACACTTTGTAAGCACTGGTTTCCAACAGATAAATGTAATCAAGGTTTATGTGCACAGAGAAGACAACAGGATGGGATTGTTTCACTTGAAAGATCAGAAGAAAATTGTAACTAATGTTGTGGAAAATTACTTTGATATTGCTTTCTTGGTACCGAATCACAATTAGGCTGCCGTGAGAAGTACAGGGGGAAGAATAAATGAATAGTAACAAATCAACACAAACAGCCTGTGTCAGGAACACTTTGCTCAGGGAGAGTAACGTAAGCATTACTTAAATTTTATGACTGTGTTTGAGGTGATTTACGTAGAACATACAGGTTCTACGTCCAGGTGGTCCGGCTCCATTTACAGCCAGAAGAAGGGAGCTCAAAACCCAAGCGTGCTCCTCACCTGGGTCTGCCAGGTCCTCGCCATCCCCGGCTGCAGCAGGAGGCTCGCCTCCGCTTCCTGCCATCCAGTCTGCCAGTCTACCCACCCCAGAAACCCTCACTGTCCGCTGGGTCCCCACTCCACCAGTAATCGAGGTAATCCACACGTGTGTGCACCGCAATAGCTGTGCAAGGCCATGCCAGCTGGCAGGGACAGGAATCCACGACACAAGAGCCAAGGTCTCTGGGTTGTCAGCTGCTGCAGCATGGCAGGGCATGTGTCGCGGTCACCAGGCAGTGACCCCACTCAGGACTATCACACCGGTCCCCAGAAGACACCACGGATGGGCACGCAGCCCCATCCACACCACAGACACACTCGGGTCTTCTCTCCCAGGCTTGTCCCACAGAAAGCAGACACAGAACACGAGGACCCTCTGCCAACGTGTGCCCCATGCACGCACACACACCAAGACGGTACGGTTATCCCCAAGCCACATCCGAGAGGCCTCTGTTGGGAGCTCGCTCCCGCTCATACAACACACAACTGCGGAGAACAACTGTGAGTGCTCTGGGCGGCACAGCCCGTGCAGCTGGGCACCGCTCAAACAGTCACCGGCCACTCTGGGGCCCAAGTGAGGCTGCAAAGTCTCCACAGAGGGACCGGCTCAGTCACGGTCTCTGCTTCCGCAGCTGGGAAGCAGCCAGACTCATCTTCAACAGCCACCTCCATGGAGGGTCCGGCCCAAGCGTGAGTCAGCACCAGTGACTCACCACTGGCTCCAGGGGGTCTGCCCAGCGCTGGGCTGCCTCTCGCTGACGTTTAGGGATGAGCAAAGCGACTCTCCAGCCTCTCCCGCCAGGGCCTCCAACAGCAGCTGCCAGGCCCAGCTCTGGCCCCCTGCTCCTTCCACCTTTCCATGTGGCACCTACGGGCCCCCAGCCCGAGCTCAGCGTGGATGCAGGCTGCCCTGAGCATGTCAGCCGTGGCGGGCCCTGGGCCCTCCCCACTCGGGGCCAGGGACCCCCTAACACTGTGTCCCACACTCCTGGGCTGTGGGCTGTAGGCAGGGATGGTGCGGGGGATCCCTCTGCCTAACCCTCCAGCCTCCACGCCCCTTTCCTTCTGTCCATGTCCGGGAGCCCAGGGGTGTCCAGCCATCAAGGACCCTCCTCTAACAAGGCCTCTGGGACCTCTGTTGTAAACACAGGTGCTTGGCCTGGCAACCTCATGTGATGCCAATGATTCCTGGCCTTGGCCCTCCAGGTTGGCCGTGCTCTCTGGGGCGCAGCCACGTCCAAGTCAGAGGGGCCTTGCCTGAGCGTCCCTCTCCACCTTCTGTCCACCCTGAGGCTCCGGGACCACCCTTCTTGCTCTCCCCTCACTGCCATCCCCACCTTTGCGAGTCCAGTGGACTGGGAGGCAGCAGGTGGGGAGGCCAGCAGGAGGCTCTTCAGCTTTACAAAGCCGGGAGGCACCGAGGCACCCTGACTTCCTCGCCCAGGCTGGAGAGGCTGAATCCAAGAGGTCCCCAGCACTGGGCAGAGAATCAGAGTCCCACTGGGAAGGCCTGTGCTCAGGGAGAAGTCACTTGTCCTCTGATATCCCAGACCATGTGGGAGAGGACCCGAGAGGTGGTGGGACCCTGAAATCTGAGGTTCACCAGAGGCAACGATCAGATGAGAGAAGGGCAGCCTGGCCATCCTTCCCAAGAGGAGTGCACGGGCCAGAGGTCAGAGGTCAGAACCCTGTGGCTGGTGGCCTGACCACAGATACAGTGCTCCCACACTGCAGCTAGTGACTGGAACCCCTGCCTTGGCCCTGGGGCAGCACGGAGGCCTGTACCTCGGGTGGGATAGCCAGGTCAGGCAGGCGGCGGGGCCGAGCGCGAGGGCTCACCTGGAGCCTGGTGGGGGGCGAGCTCCGTGGGGTCCTGCAGGCTGATGAAGAGGAGGAGTCCTGCAGCTCCGAACAGCAGGATGGACGAGAACATGCAAGCCAGTCGCATCGTTCCTGCTCGCGGGGACATCCGGGGCTCGCTCCGGGGTCACCTCTTGGGTGCGGGAGGCGCGTTCTTCCCTCATTGTCCACACCGGGCGTCCATCAGGCCAGGTCTACGGAGCAGTGGGGGAGAAAGACGGCCCATCACTGAGGCCCAGCGTCCTGGCCACTGCTCGTGACCAAGCGGAGTCCCTGGACCCCTCCACCCTTACTCACATGTGTCCCTTTGACCTTCTCAAGCCCAAGGAGGTAAAGGCTGGTCACCACCTGTGGCCGAGACACCAGCTTGCTGCCAGGGTCTCCTGTATCTGGACCTTTAGAAAAGCCACGGAGAGTGATACTCCCCAGCTCCTGCCCGGGGTGGGGGGGACACCCTGGTGGGGACCCCTATCGCCCACAGCCAGAAGACGGTGGCCACCCCCTGCACTGTTCAGGCAGAAATCTGAGTCCCTGTGGCCCACAACTGGCCCAGCAGAAACAGAAGCTCTTGGGTCTGTCTACACGATGCTGGGGACAAGGGTCTCCATAGAACCAGCAGCTTTGAGAAGGCCCAGGCCCAGAGATGTCAGGGACTGAGTGACTCACCACTGCTCCAGCCAGACCTGTCCCTGCCCTTGACAGATGGAAGGATGAGCTGGGTGGAATCAAAGCCCTGCTGGATAGTCGCACCAACAGAAGTTCCAGCCAGGTCATGGTCATCCCAGCTCTCAAAGCGGTCTGGAGCTGAGATGGCATGGCCAGACCCAGATCTGACAGATCCCAGGCTCAGAGGCTGTGTCCCTGCAGATGGACACCTGCTGCTCCGGCCACTGCAGACCCAGGCCATGCCCGTGTTGCTTGCTCCCATCCTCATTCCCCTTGAAGTAGAAGAAACGCCTGCCAAATATCCCGATGCCAACTAGTGACATCAGTTAGATCAGGCTATGGGTCAAGACGGGGGTACCCTGGGACTTCCCTGGTGGTCCAGTGGTTAGGATTTCGATCATCCACAGCAGGAGGCATGGCTTCAGTCCCTGGTCGGGAAAACTAGGGTCCCGTATGCCATGTGGCATGGCTGAAAGAAAAAGATGACAGCCCCCCAAGGCCATCTGCCTAAAGGAAAGATGTAAGTTCCTGCAGTGGGGGTGGGCTGGGGGTGGGCTGGGGATGTGGCAGGGTGGTTCGAGCAAGCTATCACCTTTTCCCCTTATCTTCACCTGATCCTACCTACCTGGGTCCAGGGACATCATCCTTTTTCCACCTAAGGAGTCCTTTGGGAACATGCCCCTGCCTGGCACAGGACAGTGCCCGAGGAAGACTGAGGCCAGGTGGGCTGTCCCCAGTAACCCCTGAGACACAGAAGGGTGCTGATCAGGCCCCAGACCAGATATGCCACTCAGCACAAGGATGGTCCCTGCTTGGAGTCTCCTTGGCTTGACATTCTGAACAGAGAACCCATCTCTGACCCGGCACCTAGGTTCTGGGGGAGGAAACCCCAGGTTTTGTCCCTCTGTATCCAACCTGAAGGTGGGGCATGAGGCAGGAAGTGATAACCAGAGAAACCCCACCCTCCCTTGCCCAAACACACATGCCCAAGGACTAGACAGTTCTCAGCAAGGCTCTGAGGCTGAGAGTTAAATTGCAGGTTTGGGTTTCTCCCCTCCGCAGTCTCTGTAATTATTTTTTCACTCAGTTAACTTTAATTAACCTGCCCCAGGCCTCCATGCACGGGAACGCGCCTGAATGCCAGGCTCTCTGGGCTGTGCGAGCAGGAGTTTCCCACGACCTCCCAGCTTTCATGTTTCGGAGGCAGTGCTGACTGGGCGCTGTTTGCCTCTGGCATTGGCTCCAAGGTTCCAGCTGACCCTGACCTCCCTGCAACAGCCCCTCAAGCACCAGCCCCCCCGCCCAACACCCGCTGCAGAGAAAGGCGGCTGCTTCCTGCCAAACAAGGATACCCCACCTCCAGCTTGCAGTGGGTGAAAATGGGCAACATGTCCCCAAAGGCTCAGACCCCAAAGCCCCTCAGGGCCTGCAGCCTCTTTCTCCATGGTGGCCCCAGATGGGACCATCCTGGGGACCTGGCTCATCATTCCGAAAGACGCAGGTGCAGGACTGCAGGCCCCAGGCTCCAGGGAAGGACAAAGCCCATAGCACGCCCGATGGCCTGTGGTCTTCCAGGCCCCTCCCTCAGTGATGACAGGCCCTCTGTGCGGGACCCACAGGTTGATCCTATAAGCAAGGCCATGGCTATAAGGACACCCAGTTCATGCCGGCCAAGGTGTTAACATACTGCTTGCAGACACACCAGCCTTCAGAGTGAGACACGAGGTCAGGAAACCAATCTGATCTAGGGTGAACCCCCAAATTAGGACATTTCTTAAGGTGGGGGAGAAGAAAGATGAGAGAAGGAAGGGAAGAAAGGATTGCAAGTTGATGGCCAGCAGACACAGTGGCCTGGTAAAGCAGCTAATAATGTGTTGCCCAATCTTGACCCAAAGACTATTTGATGAGAAAAAGGGACTCAAAGGCACGTGTGATCATTATTGCACTGTTTGTATGGTGGCTGGCACTGCAGAAGTGACTAAAGAAGAGCTGGTCAGTTTCCTCTTCTTTCTAATCTGTCACACAGCCACCATTCAAGCCGGTACAGATTTCCCTCCTCCTCCAGCCACAACCTGTCCTCACTTGTTTCTGAACCAGCCCAAACCAAGCCCACCAACTGGAGCCAGGCTTCCAGCAGCCCATGTGCCTGGAGCCAGGCTGAAGACCACATCCCTGACCCCAAATCTGGGGAGAAGAGAACACAGCCCCAGAACCTGCACTTTCATGGTGGCAGGAGCATCAACCGTTCAAGCATCTCAGTTTAGAGACTCTCCCCGTGTGACCCCCCAAGAGAATGTAAACACTCTCTCTACACCCAGAGCCATGCGTGGCTTCCCCTGCCCAGACTTAGCTTCTAAGCCAAAGACCCCAGCATCCACCCCTGCACTGGGCCTTTCTCCCAGGCTTGGCTCTCACTGGAGACCATCTGATTAGCTAACTCCCTGTTTTGTGCAAATAGGAATCAAAGGTTAGCCTGCCTCCTCTCCCGGGGGAATGGTTTGCAGCCTGACTGAGTCTTCAAGGCCCCAGGAGGGAAAGAACAACATCACAGAATCTGCAGGAAACTCCTTCCTTTAAAGGGAGCCAGGTGAGAGATCACCAACAGACCATCAGACACTCCAGACAGAGGGCACGTCTGATCCCCTACAGTCCCCACGACAGTCCTAGTCTTCAAAGTCACCTGTTATTTTCAAGGCCACAGGGAGATGCTGTCCAAAGGCTGTCTCCCTCTCCTGCAAGTTGAGCTGCTGCCTGGGGAGTCAAGGCTGGGGGTGGGCTGCCCAGGACCCCACAAACACATCCACAAGCCCCCACTCCCAGCGGGACGGGTATAGGCTCAGCACGCCCTGCATTACAGTCTGATAACAAGTGAAGAACCTTCTCCTACTTCCCTTCTAAGACAAGAAGAAAATTCAAATGATGGAATGGAAGGGGGAGGGGGGAGGTAAGAAAAATAAACAGCCCATTGAGATTTCAGAAGGTCCTGCGCACCTCACAGTTCCTAGCGCTCCCGGCGGCTTCTCTCCCTGAGGCCCCGAATGGCGTCACCAATTTTTACAGGAAGAAAGAGAAATCCAATTAATCTTGTAAACACCTCCTGGGACACAGGGCAGGGCCAAGGATTTCTCCTATTTCCTTATTTATCTGATTTAAAATTTTGTCTCTAGAAAATTCACTTCAGGGCACAAGCAAGGACTTGGGAATTCAGCCAAAACGCACGCACCTCCAGTGGCGAAGGGCCGGCAGGCAGACGGACGGACGGACGGCTCCAAGGACACACTTGGCTGCGGATGCTCCAAGGCCCGGATACTCCCCCAAGTCACCCAGAGGACCCCCTCAGGCTGTGGAGACCCACCCCTGTGCCCCCCTGGAGGCAGGAGGAGGCGTCCAGCCTCGTGCCAGTGGGTGCACCCACTGGGCGTGCGGGCCCCGGGCCCGGGAAAGTTCTCCGTCCAGTCGTTTCCTCCTCAAACCGGCAGGAGTGAACAATGACGTCCCTCCTGGCTGAGGGCTCCAAGAGAAGCTGCTCATCGGGAGAGAGGCTGCTATGGCAACTTGAGGAGAATGGAGCCAGGCATTGCCGTCACCTTGAATCCGGCACCAAGCATTCCGCTACGGCAGCAGAGGGGGCCACGCTTCCAGCTCTGCCCCTACCGAGGCCGGCGCTGGGGCTGACCCACTGGCTTCCCTCCTCAGCCTCCTGGCCTCGGTAACTCATTTGCTCTTTGCTGAAACAAAGCGCACAGCCCAGTCCCCTGAGAACACCACCTCCATCTGTTTTGTCAGAGTTCTTTCCTGTGTTCGGCTCCTGCTTACTTCTGAGATGGGGTTCTTCTCTATTTCAGCTCATTAAAATCCTGCAGCTAATTAAAACTGCTCTAACGGCAGCAGTGGTGGCAGCCGCAAACTCTGGGATGAGTCCCTCCAGTTTTTATGCACAGGCATAAAGTTGCAATGCTCTGTGAGGATGACGGATGGCTGCAAAGGGCTCAAGACTCTGAGGCGGGGCTGCAGATGCCTGCCTCACCGCTGACACAGCGGAGCGCTGACCTGGGTCCTGAAATGGGCAGGGCCCAGCCTCGGCACACCCGGGCAGGCACGATTGCACCCCATTCCTGGGGGAAGCAATTTACTTGATAACCACTCCCTTGTTACAAAGCAGGGATTCCCTCCAATCTCCCATGCTGTCTGCAGGGAGAGAGAAAGGTGACCCTGAGGCGAAGGCCAAGGTACAAATCAGGTTCAAACAGCCCGAAACCTTGTCTCCACAGCCCCACTAGGAACACCAGAGCCCAGTTTCCCATCACTGCTCTTACAAAGAGGATGAAGGAAGCCTGAAAACACACAGTCACGGCAGGAGGGTCCCGAGAGCCTGGCCAAGATGTCACAGGCTGCAGTGTCATCTTTGCTATTAGGAATAAACCACACTATGGGTATGATCTCCGTCCAGAACTTATATTTTTAGGGTACTTTATTACAGCGGAACAGGGTATGGAAAAATAAACCTACAGGTAAAAAAAACTAACTC